ATTTTGGGCCACTCTCCGTCACAGTGGGACGGCAACATCAGAAAAGATATGTGGCTCTATTCACCTGCCTCACATCTAGAGCTGTCCATCTGGAAATTGTTGCAAATCTCAGCGCAGACTCCGCAATATTAGCTTTGAGAAGATTTGCAGCGCGCCGAGGGTGCCCCACCGAAATTCATTCAGATAACGGCACCAACATGCACGGCGCGGATAAGGAACTGCGGGAGGCTTTTAAAGAAGAAGCCAGCCGACGAGGCATAGCGTGGCGTTTTATAACCCCCTCCGCGCCTTTCATGGGAGGGGTATGGGAACGTCTCGTACGATGCGTGAAGACGGCACTATACACCGTCCTTCACGAAAGCATCCACAAGAAGAAGTCTTAGCCACGCTGCTCTGCGAGGTGGAGTATACAGTAAACAGTAGACCACTAACTCACATCTCCGTGGACAGCAACGATTACGAATCCATCACTCCAAATCACTTCCTATTGGGAGGATCAGCAAGACTGCCGACACCTGGGGTATTCAATGAAAAAGATATAAATAGCAAAAAGCACTGGCGACGCTCCCAGATACTCGCTGATATGTTCTGGCAGCGTTGGGTCAAAGAATATCTACCGGAACTGCAAAACCGGCGGGAGGCCCATGGTCGAGGCCCCGATCTCCAGGTGGGCGATCCAGTCCTCATAGCCGACGGCCAGTTACCTCGAAACACCTGGCCACGAGGAAGAATTGAAGCAGTATTCCCCGGTGCGGACGGACAGATCCGCACTGTGGAGGTACGAACCGCGAACGGCCTAATCAAGAGGCCAACCAAGAAACTCGTGCCGCTACCGAAGTAAAAGGCAACGTCGCTCACCGAAATGAATGCAGCGCCACTACGATGAGATCTTCGCGACGCTGCACGGCGGGAGAGATGTTCGCGACGGTTTAAAGACTTTAAGCAAAAAGTGATTAAAGAATATTAAAGTGTTTTAAAAAGTGAAATTAGCGACAAAATCGAACTAATTGTGTTTTAATATAGTTTTACAGTATGTTTACAACTCGTAATATATTTGTATAAAGTATCGTTTTAATAATAAGTTGATATAAACGACTTTAAACATTAAATAAAATTTCGACCAATCACAGCGCAGCATATCGTGGAACTTTCTAGAAGTTAATTAACTGCGCAATAGTTTATATGAAAATAATGAGAATATTTTTATGTTCTGAAAGAATTGTAAATACGATATTTAATTAGCATATGGTATATAGATTGAAATAAGTAAATAGATAATTTATGTAAATAAACGCATTTGAGAAATATAGTAAAATTAAAGATTTAATGTGCACTTTTGTTATGTAAATTAGGTACATTTTGATTAATAACTTTTTTGAATGTAAATATATCAAGTAACCCTTATCACATAATGATAAAGGACCAAAATGCCTATTTTATAGTGTATAGCGTGTTAATGTAAAAATTAGCATTATATAGAAAAATTGCGATTTGTGCAAATTACGTAATGAAAATGTTTGATAATAAAAAGGCAAAACCGGAAATTGGCAAGCGGCTCTCTATAGAGTATAGCCGAAGTCTACCTTATGGGGGCAAATCACAGTAACATTGTAGTAGGAAGAACTACCAGTAACAAGCAGCAGTATCCGGTAGTAGCTGAAGTGACTAGTAGCAGAACACAGTGAAAAGTTAAAGTGAAATAGAAAAAGTTTAGCTAGCCGAAAAAGGTCGTAACTGAAAAATCGCAGTTACACATAGTCGGAAAAAGTGGCAACTGAAAATTCTCAGTTGCATATAGTAAAATAGTGTTAGCTAGCTGAAAAGAGTGGTAACTGATATTCGCAGTTACATATAGTGAAAAAGTGTTAGCTAGCCAAATAAAGTGGTAACGGAAATTTCGCCGTTACATATAGTGAAAAGTGTTAGCTAGACGGAAAAAGTGGTAACTGATATTCGCAGTCACAAAAGTGTTAAATTCAACTAATTTTAGTTGATTAATAGCTGCTAGTCAGTAGTGTTAGAAAACCAGCTGCTACCAATAGAAATTTTGGATACTACCAATAGAAATTTGTTACTTTCAATAGATATTTAAAATTACCAATAGAAATAGTAGAGAATACCAATAGAAACTCGTTACTGCCAATAGAAATTTGATATTACCAACAGATATTTTGAAAATACGAATAGAAATTTTAAAAAACCAATAGAAATTTTAATATTATTGTGTGTTTAATTAAATCTGTGTTTTAAAATATATAGTGAACAATCATAGTTGAAAAACAGTGTTAAATAAATAAATAAGTTATAATATTTCGCAACTAATTAATCAGTTGAACCGCTGGCCACTCCCTTGCTATTTCAATTTATAAATCGTGCATTTTTAATTCTGAACCTCAGTCCACAGTTCTCCAACAGCATACACAAAGGCGGTAGTGAAAGTATCCACCGGAACCTATAGGTGTAGGACGTGAGCGGCTCGCGGAGTATCTTCGACAACATTTACTCCGGAGAGTTACGCCCGTCCGGCACATATTTTAACCTAGGTTTGAATGGAACATTGACTGTATAGGAGTTAGGAGGATTGATAACAATAGGAAAGTGATCACTGCCATGGGAAATGGGTAATATTCTCCAAGAAAGAAGGGATGACAGGGCAGGAGAACAGAGTGACAGATCTACTGCACTTTTAGGATTTGGAGGGGGGAAACTCTACGTGTAGGTGAACCATCGTTAAGGAGGCAGAGATCTAAATCATCAATGATGTCTAAGAATGTAGAAGACCAGGGATCACAAAAATGGGAACCCCATAAAGTATGGTGCATATTAAAATCACCAAGAATTACCATAGGAGGAGGGATGGAGGATATAATCCTCGTAAGTTCCGATAAGATATTTAGATTAGGTTCGGGAATGTAAATAGAAAGGAAAGAAATGTTATGAGCTCTAACTGCAACAACATTAATTGAAGGACTATGAGAAGGAAGGGAAATTAATGTATAAGTAATTGATTTTGAGATAAGAATGAAAGAGCCAGCATGACCATCACTTCTATCATCCCTGAGACATGAATAGCCTGAGACCCTAAAATGGGAGCCAGGCTTTAGCCATGTCTCCTGGATGGCTAGGATAAGGGGATGGTATTTATTAATAAGATATATTAGTTCGTTTTTCTTATTTTTAATGCTCCGGCAGTTCCACTGAAGTATTGGAGGGAAGGTTATTTGTTAAGGAAATGAGCTCAGTAAGTTTTTGGCGGAGGGCGAGTGGGAGATCCATGTCGCTGAAACGGGAAAGCATACTTATAAGCATGGAGACCATCAGTTCGCAGAGATTATCATTAAGGGAAATACTTCGCCCTATTATAGCACAACCATTAGTAGATGAAGAAGGAGGGGTATTTATTATTGCCTCATGGGCAGATTTATCATATCCATGACTAGATGCTGGATTTGGCGAAAGTCTTGGAGTGAATGTAGTCTTCCTGTAAGAATGAGATTGTGAGGGGACAACTGAAGGTAAAGGAGGGTTTGAAATAGGACAGGAAGTCTGATGCTCATATGAAGGAAGGGTTCTAGCAGTATCTGCATAGGATCTACGGACTTGAGGGAAACGAGCAGATGCTTCTAGATAGGAAATATTTTCCTGTGACATTGTGAGTTTGATAGATCGCTGCCTAGAGTGTTCAGGGCAGGAGGGATCTTTAGCTGTGTGAGATCCTGAACAAAAAAGGCAAGTGGGAGACTGTCTTGTGCATGATATACCCTCATGATTTTGAGCACACACAAAACAACGGGAAGATGATCTACACTGTGAGGTAACATGTCCAAAACGGCAACATTTGTGACATTGAATAAGTGGTAAAATGTAGGGCTCAACGGGCATTGAGTTGTAAAAACAATAAATATTAGAAGGGAGTTTCTGGCCGGAAAAAGTTAAAAGGACTGTTTGAGAGGGAATCCACACAGTGCTTTGGTTTTCATTAAGTGATTTTCTATTAAATCGGCGAGCTTTAATGATTGAGCCAAAACCAGCTGGGACCTCGATTGATGAAATGAGTTCCTCTAATGTCCATTCTACAGGGACCTGCCTCACTATTCCCATGCGAGTGATACTATAAGAAGGGATTACAGCATCATATTTAGCACCTGCAAGGGCTGGGTTCTCAATAAAGCAATTTGCATCTGCTGCACTTTTAAATTCGACTGAGATTCTATTGCGCCCTACTCGCTTAACACCGTCGCTAACAACATTTTTAATATTATTATGGTAGAGAAAATGACCAAACTTTATCGGTTTTAAAACTACTCCAGATGATAAATCATCTACTATCTTACTTACATGTACAATAAAGGGCGCACTGTCGTTATTAGAGTATTTATGTTTTTTTTCAATGTAGTCAGGATGAGTATAAGAGGTCTGAATAGATGGTACAGGTTGAGATGGATCTGTAATTAATCTTTTCTGTGGATGAACTGAGTTATTGGTTGCTTGCGATCTTTTACGATTCGACTGATCGATCTCGATAGGCATATTTTTCTTTTTGGTACCCGCATGGGAGTCACATGTAACCCCGTCGGGATCGGGAGGATATTCCTCCATTTTATTTTAACTACTTACATATATATATAACAACACAATTACTAAATACTTACGGATTTATAACTACTAAAACCAACACCACCAGAAATAGTAAACAAAAAAGTAAATCAACAGCTCTTAGAAGTACGAAATAGCCTAAAACAGAACGACACTTGTACACCTCACACCATCCGAGCACGCTCAAATAACCTCAATTATTAGGTTAACAAACTAAATCTCGTGAACGTGAACGTGATGCATAATGGCGCTCATATAAAATGGCGATGTTGACAATAGAGTACCTGTTGACATTTTATTAAAAATGGCGCCAAACTTTATTCGCGAAACGTCGTAAGAGGGAGCCTGTTTCCATACATTTTAGACTTCAAATTTTTACTACCTACTAACTTTCCTCCCCCTGTAATACTCTTTGGATAAGTCTATGAGTGTACATATTCTGTCAAGTAAAATCAACATTAACTATTTTATATGCATTAAAAGCTATTAAAAATGGGTGGAAAAGCAGAAAAGGGCACTCCTAAATACATAGCAAATAAGATTAAAGCTAAAGGCTTACAAAAATTGAGATGGTATTGTTAGATGTGCAGTGAACAGTGTCGTGATGAGAACGGTTTTAAATGCCACACAATGTCTGAATCACATCAGCGGCAGCTTTTGCTGTTTGCTGACAACGCTTCGAAATACATAGACCAGTTCTCCAAGGAATTTTCCGATGGCTACTTGGAGCTACTACGTCGTCAGTTCGGCACAAAACGGGTGAATGCCAACAAAGTGTACCAAGACTATATCTCTAACAGGTAAATATAAAAAAAATGTCTAATTTCTTATCAATTACCATGTAGGGTCGATGCGCTGGTTTTCGGCCTTTTAGTGGAGTTGTCAACTTTAAGGTACTAGAAAAAATAATTGCCATTATGATGGCCTAGTGCTCTTAATTTTAATTTATAGCGTACATAATGTAGTTTTCATTTTTATAACTCATTGATGCTACAAGAGGAAACTGTTTTTTATAATAATTTTAGACGTGAAAAATATGTAAAGTGCTAGTTTTCGGCCCCAAACTTTAGATTTCGGCCCACAAAAATTTTAGTTTTCGGCCACTGTATTAGGCAGGATAGAAAAGGTAGTATAAACAAATGTTTTTGTAAAATTATAATAAAATGTAGTGTATTTCTATCTATATCTTTTATTTGCATTAACATGAATAAAATTATTATCAATCAATCGAATAAAATTATTATCAATCAGGTACCATCTTAAGCAAAACAAATTAACTCTTATCAACATTAACAATACTGCAATAAAATTAACAATAACTAGATATATTATAACAGTTCCAAGACTATCACAGTCACATTAACATAAATATAAGTCTTCTCTTTTTTAATAATATTACTTGAACAACACTCAGTTTTCGTAACATTTTATCAATAACTTTATCATAATCAGTCTTCTTACAGTTATTCTTATCATTAAAAAATTGAATATTTATTTGAAAATATACTATACTATATACTTTCATTTTTACCCGACTTCACTAAGAAGGACCTCCTCAATTCACCTGATTTATTTTTATGTATGTTTGGGCATAAGTCCGACATACATGCACTGATTTGGATGATTTATATTTATACCCATTTAAGTTTGGTGAGGAAGATATCGCGTAACACACAAAAATCATACTGTCGAATTGAGAACCTCCTCCTTTTTTGAATTCGTCTAATAACTTATAACAAAAAGTAAACCGCCTTGAAATATATAAAAGTAATGTTAAGGCAAAACAGTTTCAGTCTTCGATAACAGTGCTTTCGATTTCTCTAATTCTTTTTGAATATAAAATATATAAATTATATTTTGTATATAAAATAATAATCATAATTTTTCTGTCAATCATAATCTAATAACAAAATCTTAAATATGGCAATCAAATCTTCTCAATCACGATTAAATATGCAAGTATTGCATTTAAAGGGTTTGTTTTGTACTTCCTCATATTTTAGTCCAACAAAATCTGTACATCTCAAATGATACCATGTGGTGCAAAAGTCACATCCAATATTTTTTTCCGAATCTTCTTCTGTATCACTTATTAAAATATCATGACACAAGGCGCAATCTACTCTTGCTCTTTCCTTTTTCTTTATAGAATTCTTTGATTTTGCAATTTTTCGTGTTTGTACTTTAGCACTCTTTAACTTTTCCTTTTCTATTCTTTTCTTTTTCAAAATGTCTTGCCTTTTTTTACTTAATTCTAACTTCTCTATTTTAACTTTCTCTTTATCTTCATAAAATTTTCGCCACTCTGCAGAAGAAATTGCCGCAGATGAAGGTGTACGTATACGATAAATAGATTTTTTTACGGGTTCCGGTTTAACTAAGTGTTTTTCTATTGCATTTCTATATTCTGTATGTAATAGTGTTGAAGTCGATGTTTCACTAGTTTGTAGAGTCTCTTTTATCGGAATATTAACCAGCACATTTTCTAAAGTTTTAGAGGTCTTGTTTGTTATGATGTGTGTTTCCGGTGGTGGTATCATTGTAATTATTGTACTGCTTTGAGTGGTTGTTGTATTACTGGAATCTATTATCATTTCAGGAATTTTCAATATTGATGTCGTTGGTTGGCTTATTTGAGTTGGAATTACAAGTATATCCTCTAACGATACTAAAGAACCAATTTCCAAATAACTTCCTGACAAATGCAATGATGATATATTGTCATCAATTAACGATTCTGATGCATCGGTAGATGAATCCTTAGTTACCTGAACATCGTGGGTTAAAGTCCTTTGATCTTGGTCTGTGTTGCACAGACTTTCTGGAGACTTAAATGGATTTAGCGGTCTTATATTACTTAATTGGGGAAGTAAGTTTTCATTGGTCTGGCTGTGAGGAATGGTTTCAAAAGAATCCATTTTTGTCGTGTTAAAATCATCTACATGGCTGGTCATATTATTATTATCTTCTTCAATTATTTAAGATGTCGTAATATTGACTGTTGAGTTCGTTCGGTCTTCAGAGCATGTTTCGTATAAAACGTCATCGATTTGTATCTGAGAAGACTTTCTTTTCAGTTTCCTCATCTCCTTCAATATAATTGCAACTTTTATGTTTTTTTCTGCCAGAGTTAATTTTAAATGTTTTAAAACTTTCCTTGCGGAAACTAGGTCTGCGTTAGTTATCTCTTTGGAAATATTTCTTTGTGGTGTCTTCGAATTATCACTGTTCAGTTTTTCCAGGGTATTCTGTACACATTTCGAGTAGTCCACTGCATTGGGATCAAATGGATAAAGTCCGCATTTTCTGAAGCCATTTATTATATTTCGAGGCATATTTGTACTTTCCAGGCAATCTTTAAAAATAACGCAAAAGTTTGTTTTGGTAACAGAAGAGTTTAAATTTTCTGGTTTCGTCAAAAACTTCCTTACTACATTTTTCCATTCCGATTTCAAAGGCCCAAAAACACTGACATCTGCCGGTTGGAGTATGTGTGTGGTGTTAGGTGGCAGAGCGTAAAGAATTATTCCCATTTGCTCACACATCCCGCTCAACTCAAGTGACATATGGGATTTGTGTCCATCTACCAGTAATAGAATGGGTCTTTGTATTTCATTACTCACCACCCAGTTATTAAAATCATTCGTAATATATTCAAAAAATACATCACTTCGCATCCAACCACTATCAGACCTTCCAAGGACCCAATGTGGTGGCATGCTATCTGCGATTTGTTTTGGTGGGCGAATATATGGAAAAACTATTAGTGGTGGGCATACTTGTGCCTTAGCATTAAATGTCACCAAAACAGTTAAATTATCTTTTTCACTACCACTTTTAATTTGGTATAGATTGCGATACCCTCGAGAATCAAGAACCTTTCCTGTTTTGGGGCAAAGGGCGAATCCACTCTCATCTCCATTAAATATACGTTCCGGAGATTCCAATATATCACGATTATTTGTTTCCACTAGAAACGATTCAAGCTCTCCAAACCAGCGTCTGATTGACTCCTCTGTTATTCTTGCTCTCGCCTTATTTATTCCTTCAGCGGATCTTTGTGAAATTTCTGGATGCCTTTTCATGAAGTTTATAAACCAGGTTTGTCCAGGACGGTCATTTTTGAAAGGTGTCTGCATGCCTGAGTCTTTTATAATTTTCTGAACAGTGTCTAGCAATTCAAATTTTTTTATAGGGAAACCACACTTTGCGATGTCAATTAGCCAGTCTACGATTTTTTTTCGACTTCACTGGTTAGTATAGGATCAGGACCTCGCGTTTTAATCGAATCACTACTTCTTCCAGATATTCGATCCTGGACAGTTGTCCTAGGGATTCCATAATTTCGGCAGACCTCTCTAATGGATTTTTTTTTCTCGTGAATATCTCTAAGTGCCTTGTTAATAGTATCTTGTGTATATGGTGCATTTTTTTTATTATTATTTATTTTTTTCTTCGGAGGAGCCATCTGAAAAAAAAACAGTCTTATTAAATTTTCTTACTAAAACAAAACGGGAATAAAATATTTTATGAAATGGCCGTAAACCAAAACAGCGTCCGATTTTCGGCCACCCTATTCCTTCATACAATTTTAAGTTGGCCGAAAACTTAATAATAATTATAGACTCAATCCAGTTTTCGGCCACCACCGAAATGGGTATTTTTGTTTCATCACTAACCGTTCAAATTGCAGTACTTGATGGCCGAAAACTGAAGGCTAGTGTCTTCGCAAGGACACGCTTCATTATAAATAAGAAAGAAGACAATAGCATTAAACCAAATAAATGAAAGAGACAAAGTATTTAAGCTAAACTTGGGCTACTTTCCGGCCGCACGGCCGACAACCAAATAATGGGACAATTTAATGTATCACTTTCCGGCCATCAAATTATTTAACTTTTTCAATAATATATTTTACTAATCAATGTGAAAATACAGTATTAAGTTATTTATATAGTGAAATATAAGTGCAATATTAAATAATCATAGGAAATACAGCACAAACTTACTTTTCAGTGGAGCGCGCGTCACTATTTTTTTTGCTCGATCTTACACGCGTTGACAGGTCCTGTGCCGGCGTCGAACTGAACTATTTGTTATAAGTCGCATGTTGTGTTTAAACGATTAAATAATGTTGCCAGATATAGTGCAACTTTACTGCATCACTTGGTGCCAAAGGCCGAAATCTAGACCCGGTCGGCTTACCGGTGCAACGACCCTAGTGGCGGTATAAGAATATAGGTACTACCTTATATGTATATCCATACCCCATGGGTGTTGTAAGAGGCGACAGATGGAAACAAATAAGATAGGCAGCAGTGTCTTCCTAATAATGACTAAAAATAGAAAACTTGTTGCCAACACGCTTGCCAAATGTGGAACTATGGCAAATATGCTGGCTTAGCTTTCCATTGACTCCCGTCGAGTTGGGGGTTGATACATATTTTTACAGAAAAGTTACACTATTATAAGCACACACACAAAGTTAGAACATGCGGAAACGCGTAATTTTTGAGAAAAAAGTTGTTGAAAGTCAATTATTCTTGCATTGTTTATATCTAATCCTACCATAAAACTGACGCCATTTTGTAATGTCATTGTCGTCAGTAGGGATGTCGATTCTTTCCGAAAAGGGTTGATTTTTAAATAGATTCAAATTGTAAGCTGATGTATCGATTCATAAAAAATCGATTTCTAAAATATCTATATTTTCTATGTTTGCATTTATAATGTAAATATAATTCCATTTTATGAAAAACAAGAAAGATACCATAATAAATGATCTCTTATTTTTATAAGCACACACACAAAATTTCAATATGCGGAAACAAGTACTTATTGAGAAAAAATATTGTAAATCAAATAATTTTGCAATATTTAGTCAATTCCTACCGTGAAACTGACGCCATTTTTATTATTATTGTCAGTAGGGATGTCGATTCTTTCCGAAAAAGATCGATTTTTTAAATAGATTCGAATTGTAAGCTGATGTATCGATTACCAAAAAATCGATTTCTAAAATATCGATATTTTTTCATGTTTGCATTTATAATGTAAATATAAATCCATTTTATGAGAAAAAAATCCCCTTCATCATAAAAAAATAAGAGGACTGATTCAGAAGGATTTCTGTATCTATTTTGAGACTGCTACGTCTCCGGCGCTGCGGGAAGAGCAGCCTCTACGCCTTAGCGTAGCAAATCGCAGGCATCCCTCATCCCATTTGTTACAGCAGGCAGAGGCTGCTCCCCCTACGCGCCTCCGGCTCTATAAAACCACTCTAGGGGTAGGACAGACTCGTACCAGGTGGAGTCGGGGTCAATCAATTCGGTTCTTTTACATAAGTTGAACCTAACCTATTTTATTTGTTATCTGCCCTAATAGGTACTTGTAAATAGAACAAATTTCAATAAGAGATCATTTATCATGGTATCTTTCTTGTTTTTCATAAAATGGGTTTATATTTACACTATAAATAGAAACATTAAAAAAATATAGATATTTTGGAAATCGATTTTTTGTGAACCGATACATCAGCTTACGATTTGAATCGATTTAAAAATCGACCTTTTTCGGAAAGAATCGACATCCCTATTGACGTCGACAATGAAATTACAAAATGGCGCTAGTTTTATGGTAGGATTAGACATAAACATTGCAAGAATAATTGATTTTCAATAATTCTTTTCTCAAAAATTACGCGTTTCCGGATGTTGAAACTTTGTGTGTGTGCTTATAATAGTGTAACTTTTCTATAAAAATACGTATCAACACCAAACTCGACTGACGTCAATGGAAAGCTAAGCCTTTTGTTTTATTTTGACAGTACCAATTAGGGCAGATAACAAATAAAATAGGTTAGGTTTAACTTATGTCAAAGAACCGAATTGATTGACCCCGACTCCACCTGGTACGAGTCTGTCCTACCCCTAGAGTGGTTTTAAAGAGCCGGAGGCGCGTAGGGGGAGCAGCCTCCGTCTGCTGTAACAAATCCTCGCCTCTGCAGCTTCGGCTTGTTGGTCGCCTTCGGCGAGCAGCCTTAGCCGCTCCGGCTCGTCCGATGCCTGCGATTTGTTACGCTAAGGCGTAGGGGCTGCTCTTCCCGCAGCGCTGGAGACGTAGCAGTCTCATAATAGGTACAGAAATCCTTCTGAATCAGTCCCCCTATATTTTATTTTTTCTCATAAAATGGATTTATATTTACATTATAAATGCAAACATGAAAAAAATATAGATATTTTAGAAATCGATTTTTTGAGAATCGATATATCAGCTTACAATTCGAATCTATTTAAAAAATCGATATTTTTCGGAAAGAATCGACATCCCTACTGACAATAACAATAAAAAAATGGCGTCAGTTTTATTGTAGGATTAGACATAAAGAATGTAAGAATAATTGATTTTCAATAACTTTTTTCTCAAAAATTACGCGCTTCCGCATATTGTAACTTTGTGTATGTGCTTATAATAGTGTAACTTTTCTGTAAAAATACGTATCAACCCCCAACTCGATGGGAGTCAATGGAAAGTCGTACAAATATGCTTCCCATGAGGCAATCAATGGGGGAGGCCTATGTTCAGCAGTGAACTTTAATTGGCTGTAATGGATGGATGCATAGAATATAATCTACCAGGAGCACATGACCCACTGAGAGGTGAAATTTTCAAATTAACAGTAACATTAAAACTATGGCAAATATCCACCCTACGAGGCAATCAGTGTATCAGACCTATGTTCTGCAAGGGAATTTAATAGGCGGTAATGATAAACTTCTTGACATAGTTTATATGTATTTTTCTTTATATACTTTAAAAAGTACTGCCATAAATATTAGTTATTCAGTAGTGAATCTTATATATACCATTTTTATGCATGCCTATAGTATGCTAATTTATAAAAAAGCATTTGACATGTGTTCCCAACTGACACATCCAGTCACCTCATAAGTAATATACAAAATTACCTTGAGTTTGAATAAAATTTTAATTATCCAGAACTCAATACTGTCGAGAGTAGGCTGGTTGATCTGTTTTGTAAAACAAAATTATAAATTCTCATGTAGTGTAATCTCTATGTTGTAGGGACCATCTCCACATGAATGCAACACAGTGGGAAACCCTGACTGACTTTGTCAAGTGGTTAGGGAGAGAAGGTAAATGTGTTGTGGATGAAACAGAGAAGGGGTGGTTTGTTGCGTATATAGATAGGGACCCAGCGGGGATCGCTGCACAGGAGGCCAAAGCAAAGAAGGAGAAGATGGATAAGGATGACCAGGTATGTTTTTATTATCTGCCAGTTCAGTTACTAATTTGATGCTTTTTAGGGTTCCGTACCTAAAGGGTAAACAATGCGACCCTATTACTAAGCCTCCACTGTCCGTCCATCAGTGGGCTGTATCTCAAGATCAGTATTAGGTAGACAGTTGAAATTTTCACAGAATGTGTATTTCTGTTGCCCCTGTTCTGTTAATAGTATAGTTATAGCACAAATAGACCAGGGAAGGACTACGCTCTCACAGAATACCAGCGTAAAATAGCAGCTTAATGCTGCTGTGTTTCGTATGGTGAGTGTAGAGAACCGGAGACCCTTTTTACTGGAAAAGAGGCATTCTATCTTAGTCCTCACGGCTGACAACACATCTGCATTTTAATTCGCAAACAAAGATAGATGTAGATGTCTATGGGCCACAGCAACCACTTACCATCAGGTGGACTGTGTGCTCGTTTGTCAACCTTATTCTATAAAAAAACAAATAATAAAAATTAAAAGGGGGCTCCCCTACTAGAAACGTGTTTTACGATGGTACGGAACCCTTCATGCGCGAGCCCGGTTCACACTTGGCTGGTTATTTTTTATAGAACAAGGGTGACAAATGAGCACACAGTCCACCTGATGGTAAGTGGATGCTGTGGCCCATAGACATCTACATTTATCCTCAATTAAGAATGAAAATGCACATGCGTTGTCACCCCTGAGGACTGAGATAGAATGCCTCGTTTCCAGTAAAAAGGGTCTTCTGTTCTCTGCACTCACCATACGAAACACAGCAGCATTAAGCTGCTATTTTCCCTGGTCGAGCCGACCTATTTGTACTATAACTATACTATTAACAGAACAGGGGCAACAGAAATACACATTCTGTGAAAATTTCAACTGCCTACCTAATATGGATCTTGAGATACAGCCCGCTGATGGACGGACAGTGGAGGCTTAGTAATAGGGTCGCGTTGGTTACCCTTTAGGTACGGAACCCTAAAAATTATTAGGTATTCTGTGAGAGCGTGGTCCTACCCTGGTCAAGCCTACACATTCATGCTGCAACCACAATATACCTAAAAACTGGCTCTACCACCTAAAAACTTACTGTAACCTTCTCTTTTTTTTAGGGATAGAACTCCTTTTTATCTATCAGTCTGTCGAGGTAACCCCTCATACTTATTTCTGCCACCAAGCAATAGTTAGGCCACTGCTATCTTGTGCAGGACAGTATTATTGTTGCGAGTACAATAAAATTAAATTGATATTAATATATGTTTTTATTATTATTTGTGCAAGCAGCTATGCCGGTCTATAAAGACCAGTGTCACTGCAACCTAAAAGATCCATTGTGATAACTGCTATGGCTAGAGTTCACTGCTAAGCCCTATGTCTTCAATGAATAGGAGTTACTTAGCTGTGAACAATTTCACTTCTTCTGGATGGAGTACATAGTTTCCCAGATGAGTGTTACATTTGAGCATTAAGGCTCCGGAATCAGTTTGGATGTGTAGAGACTTTTCTTCGTTTAAGGAACAAAACCAGCACATCCTCGAGTTGCCTAGTCCCAAGATGGACATGTGCTTTTTACGACAACAGTGTCCAAGTCAGGGCCCTTGCCAGAATGTGCAATTTATTTTTACCTAATCTTACCAAGGCTTTTGAAGCGATTTTACGATAAAAAGCCCGGATTAAAGTTTTAGAATGTTTTAAGCCTGGTGTATCAGTCCAGATCTTAAGTGATTTATTGTGATAAACAGTTTCAAGGATCGATCGGGCGAGGCTTTTTGATATTTCACGAAATGGTTTGGGTTCCAAATTGTAGTTCCTATTACTGTGTCTGCCACCAAGCTTTAGTGATGCCACTGCTATCTTCAGGTCTCAAGTGTATAGACAGCTAGTAAAAATAAAGATTTGCTATCTTGTGCAAGACAGTATTATAGTTGGAGTTCAATATATAAGTTAGTAAGTTCCTAGTTTTGCCACTGTGTGTCATTAAAGGAACAAATAAATGCCTTCTTCTTGATAGTGCATGAGTGTGTGCACAAGCACCGCATCTCTTTTCTTTCACTCTTATTGTTCGTGGGGAAAGCAAACCGACACAACCGGAGAGACATCATGTGTAAGACCAACGGGTTTAAGCGCTTTCTGAGAAACGGGATAAACTATCACCGACTTCCAAATTGGGCTGTTACTGAGAATTTCTTGACAGAAAAATGGGTCCCTGGGTTCGAACCCGAGACCATAATGTATTCAGCAGATGAGATTCACTATGCACTAAAGCAACACTGTTAGTTTTCCGCTGTGGAAAACAAACAAACAAACACTCAACTTAAAGGTAAGTGGCTATTACAGTCCATGGACACCTGCAGCTACTTTCAGACAAAGAAGGCCACAGATGTGATCACTTCTGAGGACAAATATAGATGTAGCTTCATAATCTGTAATTATACTGGCTTTCTATTCCCTTCAGAATGGAATAGCAGTGCAGGCACGGCTATTTTGTAGCAGAAATGGAATCCCAATCACCTAGAAAATATGTAATATATCAATAACTTAGCATTCAATTATTATATAAATCAACTACTCTTGCTCTAGGAAAGAATGTTAGAATTCATACAGAAACAAGTGGAGAAAGGGAAGAAGGAGTTCAAGGCTGAGGAGCCCTCGTACACAGAACTAAAACGAGAGAACAGCCAAGAGAAACTCACACTCAACATTAATTTGAAGAGGAAAACCGAAGGTGAGTGTAATTGTGCTGATTTGAAAGCTTGGTCATCATCATCATCATTACAGCCTTTCACAAGTCCACTGCTGAACATAGGCCTCCCCCAAAGAATGCCACAAAGCACGGTCCTGAGCCACCTGCATCCATCGACTTCCTGCATATCTTACCAGGTCGTCACTCCATCTAGTGGGGGGACGCCCTACACTTCGCCTGCCGGTACGAGGCTACCACTCGAGAACCTTTCTTCCCCATCGGTTGTCGGTTCTTCGAGCTATATGGCCGGCCCATTGCCACTTCAGCTTACTAATCCGTTGGGCTATGTCGGTCACTCTAGTTCTACTGCGGATATCCTCATTTCTGAGTTTATCACGCAGAGAAACTCCGAGCATAGCCCTCTCCATAGCTCGCTGAGCGACCTTGAGCTTCCTCATCCGGCCAGCAGTGAAGGACCACGTCTCAGTTCCGTATGTCATCACTGGCAACACGCACTGGGTGTACAGTCTCGTTTTCAAGTTTTGAGGTATACCTGACGAGAAGATGTGCCGTAATTTCCCGAACGCTGCCCAACCGAGTTGAATCCGTCGATTGACCTCTCGGTCGAAGTTGGACTTACCTAGTCGGACTATTTGTCCCAGGTAAACATACTCGTCAACAACTTCGAGCTTAGTGTTCCCAACAACTACCGGCATAGGTGTGACATGGACATTAAACATGATCTTTGTTTTGTCCATGTTCATCTTAAGACCTATCCGTTGGGAAACACTATTGAGGTCATTGAGCATAGTGCTTAGGTCCTCCAGCGATTCTGCCATAAGGACTATATCGTCGGCAAATCGAAGGTGAGTGATGTACTCGCCATTGATGTTGATACCGTATCCTTTCCAGTCCAGAAGCTTGAAAACATCTTCCAATGCAGCGGTAAAGAGTTTCGGGGATATGACGTCACCCTGTCTTACACCTCTCTGCAATTGGATAGGTTTCGTACTCTGGTTCTGTACTCGGATAGCCATCGTAGCCCTACTGTACAAGCACTTCAACACTTCGATATACCGACAGTCAACTTGGCATCGCTGAAGGGACTGCAGCACCGCCCAAATTTCGACGGAATCAAAGGCTTTCTCATAGTCCACATACGCCAGACATAGTGGCAAATTGTACTCCTCGGACTTCTGTACAATTTGCCGAAGGGTATGTATGTGGTCTATGGTGCTAAAGCCTTTTCGGAAACCGGCTTGTTCGGGAGGCTGGAAGTCGTCAAGTCTGCGCGCGAGACGATTCGTAATGACTCTCGAAAACAGCACGTAGACGCGGCTCAGAAGGGAAATCGGTCTGTAGTTCTTCAAGAGAGCATTGTCGCCTTTCTTGAAGAACAAGACCACCGCACTTCTGCTCCACGCCTCCGGTGTAATGCCACCATGGAGGACGGAATTAAAGAGCTTCTGAAGGACTTCAAGTACCGGTTTTCCACCCGCTTTCAGAAGCTCCGCTGTAATTCCATCCTCGCCTGGGGCCTTGCCGTTTTTAAGGTGCTGGAGAGCCATTCTAATCTCGCTCAGACTGACGTCCGGGATATCATCGGAATAATGTCGGATAAGACTCGCTCTTGGATCGTTACTCACACTTGCGTGCGGCTCCAACGATGACGTGTACAGCTGCCCATAGAACCTCTCAATCTCACTCAAAATCTCAGGTGCCCCGGAAACGATGCTGCCACATTCTGTCTTCAGCTTTGACAGTTGGCGCTTTCTGGCAGACAGATCTCTGGCAAAGACTTTGGAGCCTTGGTTCCGCTCGATCGCTTCTTCAATACGAGCTGTATTGAAGTTGCGTAAGTCCCGCCGCATGCATTTGGAGATCTGTCTGTTCAGTTGCCTGTATGCTGTTAAATCTGTTGAAGAATGTAGCTTCATCTCCCGTCTAACAGCCATGAGATTAAGAGTGTGATCGGAGAGTTTTTGTGTTCTTCTGCGGCGGGTCTTGCAGAGCTTAGCTCCGACCGCATGGACAGTTTCCACGAGCTTGTCATTCAAATCGTCCACTTCATTGCAGTCTTCTAGGCACTGAAAACGGTTTTGTAACTCGAGCTGAAAGGTTTCGGGACTTTGGATTAGAGCACGAGGGGGACGGAGCGTTGACTTCATTAGACGAGACCTCTCCAACTTAACGTTTAGGTTCAGTGTGCCTCTAACCATTCGGTGATCGCTGCCGGTTTTCAACCTCGCGATCACTGAGACATCACTGAACAGTTGTCGTCTGGTCGTCATAATGAAGTCAATCTCATTTTTTGTCGAACCGTCGGGGCTCGACCAGGTCCACTTCCTGTGGGGCCGCTTCTGGAAGAAAGAGTTTATCATAAAGAGTCCCTCTTTCTCCATGAAGTCGGCCAGCTGCTGGCCCCTTGGGTTCCGTTGCCCTATTCCAAATTTCCCTACTTTCAGCTCACCGTTCTCTCTTGTGCCTAGTTTTGCATTGAAGTCTCCCATTAACACCGTATATTGGGTTTTGGAGGAATGCATGGCTCTAGAGATATCCTCATACATTTCCTCCACCTCCTGATCGGGGTGTGCCGAGGTTGGTGCGTAAACCTGTATGACCTTCAGCGAATACCGTTTGGTGATTCTGAGTATAAGGTACGCAACCCTCGTCGACACACTCTCAATCTTTACAACGTTGTTAACGAGAGACTTGTGGACGATAAATCCGACACCTCCTTGGGACAGATGGTCGCCCTCCCGGTAATAGAGCAAGTTGCCGGATTCGAGGATTACCGTGTCCTCCCCCTCTCTTCGGACTTCGGATAATCCTATAATATGCCAGCGTAACTTGTCTATCTCTTCTTCCAGCTCCACAATCTTCTCGTCAGTTCTCAGGGTGCGTGCGTTGTATGTTGCCAGGTCGAGTCGTCGTAGGTGGCAACCGAACCTCCACCGGAGATTCTTAGCACCCCCTGCCCCGCCGTTACCATGGTCGCCACCGTAGCCAGGAATAGCGGGGCCGCCGGGGACTGGGGGCCGTTTATTATTGTCATTGCTCATGGGGGGTATATTGCCATAGTTGCCACGCTTGGCGAGCGGGTTGGCAACCGCAGTTTTTTATTGTTATTTTGGCTATTATCAGGAAGATGCTGCTGCCCATCTCCTGCCTGTTTCCCTTTGTCGCCTTTTACTACACCCACGGGAAGATATGGGGTAGTGGATATTCTTAACCGCCACTACACGGCAAAGCTTGGTAATGAAGTAATTTCATTGCTGCACTGCTGGCACTACAATCGAGCACACAGATTGCCTAATGGTACGAAATAAAGAATGAACGAAAGAGACATTTATAGCGAACACGCCACACCACACACAATAACAGGCACTTAAGTATAAATATTAGTAAACCTAACAATTAATGAACATAATATAATAAAATTAAAAAAAAACAATAACTTAACAGATATACCATTTAACAAAAGTATGTAATATAAATTACAATTCAAATATGTTCCTCATGTGTGTTGTGGCGCATTAGGCAAACGGACCTCGCTCAGCTTATGCCAAACAACAGTGCTGACTTTCAAATGGGCCTGAACAGATAGTAACGTAAGGAAGTTCACATGTAATACAATATAGTTCTAAAATCTAAAAGTGCATGCCTGAGGAGCATTTCATTTAATTTTGATGGAAAAAAAGAAAGAGATGATAATTTTTACAAGAAAAAAAATCAGAGAATTTGATTGACTTTCATTAATAAATTTTAAATAGTGCTAAGTTCAATAACAAAAGCAATAGGGATGCTTAAACCCTTTCAGTAATGAGAGGAGGCCTGTGCCCAACAGTGGGACGTAAATAGGCTGCAACTTTTTAGTGCAAGGAAATGTCCGCCGCGCTGCCCCAATGCATGTTGGCGAACTTCACATGTCTTCGAATTTTTGTTTCTTATTTCTCCGACATGCATGTTTCCTCACAATGTTTTCCTTCACCGGGGAGCACGTGATAAATCAGTACTTAAAATTGCAATTAACAACTTCATTGGTGCCGGCGGGGATCATACCCGGGTTGCTCGCGTACTGTGAAATTTACAGCAAGCGTCAACCATCTGAGCCACCACGACTCTTTTATCTCTCCATTAATACTCAATACTCAATATTTATTTGCATTCCATAATGTACAAATTAATAAATTAAATTATCACAATATGGACCCTGTTGGGTATAGCAAGATTCAAGATTCAAAACTTTTATTTGCATCAAACATGGTAAATACAGGTGTTAATTACATATACTTTTGGCCATACATGTTTCACCGCTTACATAGAGGCATACAAATATCAAATTTAAGTCTGTGGCTAATTCAGTTACTTATTAATTACAAAATATTAAAAGATACATTGAAATTAAAATTTATACATAATTACTCATTAGACAATTATTAATTATTACTAAATGGGATAAAATGTCAAAATAATGGTTAATTATTATTAAACAAAAGAAAAAATGTCCATGATTTGTGAAATCGTAGTGGTATCATTTGTCAAATTTATAATCTAGGAATTCTTTGACGCTATAAAAAGTTCTTTCTGCGAGAAGATCATAGAGGCCTTTTCTAAATCCTGAGAAAGATAGTGCTTTAATATGCTGAGGAATTTTATTATATATTTTGACACACATGACAGCTTTTATTATATTTAGATAATCTAGGAAGTGTGTCAATTACAAGCTTTTCAGGGTATCTAAAATTAGAACAGAGGAGGACGCATAGATGTTTTATAAATCATTATTATTATTATATCATTTATTAGTCCATAATTATTCATATCTAAAACTATAAGCCCTATTTTTAGTTTCTCTTTTTACATATAAATTAGGGTATTTTCGCACGAATTTGCATAATTCCAATATATAAATACAACTTAAGGTAAGAAGTTTAAGTTTCTTAAAATGAGGACGACAACTTTCAGTATTTTTTATGTTAGACATAATGCGAATTAGCTTTTTCTGTAAGATGAAGATGGTGGGTGCATCTGTACTGTAGCCCCACAGGATAATACCATACCTTAGCCACGCCTGTGCATAGGCATTATAAGTAATTAACGCAGTCTGGAGGTCAGTTGTCTTTTTTATTTCACTTAGTGCATATACAAACCTAGACAATTTGTTACGAATTTTCTGAATTTGAGATTTCCAGTTAATGTGGCTATCTAGAATTAAACCGAGTAGAGTGTGTTCATTTACTGACTCGATTTTTGTATTTTTGTAAGAAAAATTAATTTTAATCGGTGGTTTTTGATAAGGGTAAAAAGGCAAAATTTTTGTTTTTGTATAGTTAATTTCTAGGTTATGCTCTTTCATCCATTGGTTAGTATTTTTAAAATTATGAAGACCCAATTAAATTTTTTTTTGTATTATTTTGATTCTTTCTTGTAGAGAAAGCTGAAAGCCTCCCAAAATCAGTACTGCAAGCATCGAAAATTAAAGAAGAATCTACCAGCAAGAAGAAGAGGACAGAAGAATGTAAAAGCAAGCAGTCGGCTCTAGATGAGATTATGCAAATGCAGGAAAGAGCGAAAGAGAAAGCAAATAGGTGAGAGATATTGTTTTATTAATATATTCTCTCATATGTACTTATGTATATTATATATATTATACTGACGGCTCTGTGACGCAGTTACTTAGCAATGAGGGCATCCACGACTTTTTCTGCCACCAGGGCGGCGCCACTTAAAAGTGAGCTATAATATTTGACAGATTTCATAGTGGGGAAGTTAATTTGTTCGAATAATGTCATTCGAACAAATTGTTTGTTAAATGCAAGAGTTAATGTTTCTTTTTGTAGTATTAGCTATATTTTGGTATTAATAAGATTTAAAATAAATAAACCAAACCACAGATATTCATAAAAGTAGAAAAATTAAAAAAAAGTTAAAAATGGTCCAAAAAATTAAAGAGCAAAGCATTAATTAGTATCTATAGTATTAATATAATACTCTAGAAACTGATAAACTTTTATTAAAAACTAACTACTCAATTAACTAACATTGTGTATAGTTCATTTCAAATAGGATGGCAGGATTCCACTTGAGACTTAGCAATTACAGCTGTAATGTTAATCTATTGTTGTGTGATTATTTTATTGCTTTAACACTTGAAGTTAAGCATCTGTTGATAATAATGAACCAGTATAGCTGGAATGACGAATTTTGGTACTTGAACATTAAAACAAATTAAATTGTAGATAAAAAACCTTTATTACTTTTAACTTAACTATTTTAAATACTTATAACAACTTGTTAATATTTTGTTTAATCAATCACTCTGAAGAACATTCATCGGTATCTGTGTCCTCACACGTATTTATTATAAATGGTTGTATCCGATCCCTCGAAAATTCGTTTTCCACTCTTATGACATGGTCACAAACATTCTTCCAAAAAATTTTTTTAAAGATTTTTTATCTACAATTTAATTTGTTTTAATGTTCAAGTACCAAAATTCGTCATTCCAGCTATACTGGTTCAGTATTATCAACAGATGCTTAACTTCAAGTGTTAAAGCAATAAAATAATCACACAACAATAGATTAACATTACAGCTGTAATTGCTAAGTCTCAAGTGGAATCCTGCCATCCTATTTGAAATGAACTATAACAAAAAACGTTACCTCAGTGTCAACTAGCGACATCTGGTGAGCAGAAAGTTATTAGCCCTCATTGATTTGCAGCGCTAACCGACTTCAATACAAATTATTAAGAATAACTCCAAAACTGTTGGTCAAATTTATATGGGACCAAATGAGAAGCACCATCTTTCAAATAAAAAAAAAAAGAATCATCGAAATCGGTTCACCCAGAAAAACGTTATGAGGTAACACACATGAAAAAAACATACAGTCGAATTGAGTACCGTCTCCTTTTTGAAGTCGGTAAAAAAGAATTGTTCTGAGCACTCAACTGTGGTTCTTACTAAACGTAGTGATTATATACTCTTTGGTTCTGAGGGATCCTTTGTAGATATTACCATACTCTTTAGAGCGTTCTACAAAGGTGACCTTGGATTATCTCATGTATAAGTCCAGAACTTGACAGATTAACAAGCTATGATTCTATAATACTTTTCAGAAAGGACTACTGGCTGACTGAAGGTATTGTTGTAAAAATCGTCACAAAGTCCCTCGGCGACAAGTTTGACAAGAGGAAGGCGGTCGTCGAACGTCTCATTGACAAATACGCGGCACACGTCAAACTTACAGATGACAATGTCAAACTGAAACTTGATCAGGTCAGTCTTAGTCTGTCGTGTATTGTTGACTAAATTCCTCAGATTTATATGTGGTAGAGCCACGCTGCAGCTATATTAAGGTTGTAGCACGAATGGGTCAGCTCGACCGGGGAAGGACCACGCTCTCACAAAATACTAGCATAAAATAGCAGCTTAATGCTGCTGTGTTTCGTATGGTGAGTGTAGAGAACTGGAGTCTTTGACCGTGACCCTTTTTACTGGAAATGAGGCATTCTATCTTAGTCCTCAGGGTTGACAACGCATTTGAATATTGATTCTTAATTGAGGATCTCTCTGCCGCTCTTGCAAACCGATGTTATCGTTTGTTATTTATGCGCGAACCATCATCACCTTTAACTTCATTTCAGAACCATGTGGAAACAGTGATACCTTCACCCGGGCGTGTGGTGAGGTTTGTGAACGGGGCGTACAGAGGAGAGACTGGAGTGCTGAGGGATATTGACACCGACTACTACTGTTGCGACGTCGAGGTAGGAAGTCATACATATTATATGTTTAATTATCATCATCATCATTACAGCCCTTCACAAGTCCACTGCTGAACATAGGCCTCCCCCAAGGAATGCCACAAAGCACGGTCCTGAGCCTTCCTGCATGTCTTACCAGGTCGTACTCCATCTAGTGGGGGGCCTCCCTACACTTCGTGCGTTGGTATAAGGCCGCCACTCCTTTTTTCCCCATCGGTTGTCGGTTCTTCGAGCTATATGGCCGGCCCATTGCCACTTCAGCATACTAATCCGGTTACTGTGGTTCTACTGCGGATATCCTCATTTCTAAGTTTATCACGCAGAGAAACTCTGAGCATAGCCCTCTCCATAGCTCGCTGAGCGATCTTGAGCTTCCTCATCCGGCCAGCAGTGAAGGACCACGTCTCAGTTCCATAGGTCATCACAGGCAGCACGAACTGGTTGTACAATCTCGTGAACCGGAAACAGTTGGACCCGGTAGGTGGCGCTGTTGCTGAGACCCAAAAATCATCCGTACGAAGCCGGAGCGAATAGATATTGTTATATATTTTATTCAATATGGTTAATTTTATTTATTTAATAATTTGTACTTAAAAAAAAAGTTATAATTATAAACCATCTTTAAAGCACCACACAAAGAGGAGACCCAGATAAATAGGCAACACTGTATACTGTATTCTATCTCATTCTCTCGTAGGCTAAATTCTATAGATATATATGTTTGTCTCTGTCTAGTGTCCCTTTTTCGTTTTATCGACTTTGAAATCACACAACTATACTAAAAAAAGCTTTCACTTTTAAAATATTCTTTTAAATAAAAGTCCCGCTGAGTTTCTTGCTGATTCTTCCCAGGACAGCGGTATTTTCCGAACCAGTGGTAAATGAAACATAATGAGTGACTTTCAATAAGTATTATTTATACTGATATCTTGTAATATAAAAATGAATCCCTGAATGTGTTGCTAAGCGCAAATCTCGAGAGCAGCTGAACCGATTTCTCTAATTAATTTTTTATAATATTCCTTGTAGTACGAAGCTGGTTCTTACGGAGAGAAAAATTTAAAAAATTGCCTGAAAAAGTCTAAAAACAACACTTTTCTATATTCCCATACAAAAGATTCGTAATAATACTTAAAAGACAATTTGAACTTTAATACCATACCATAAAGTTTAAGTGTAGTGGAGGGGTTCCGGGAAGGCAAAACAATTTAGTGACGTTAGTATTCGTATAAATATTAATGTCAATATTTGTCAATATTTATACACACTAGCAGATAGTTGATGTTATAAGGAGTAACTTGGGCTGCTTTTATTTTAGGGTACCGCGAAAAATAACTCCACGCGGGCGAAGTCGCGGGGAACAGCTAGTTGAATATAAAAGTTTGTTTCTATTTCTTTAGCTACAATGTCCTCCAGTTTACCGTACTTTACAGTGTAGTGGTAGTTTAAGAATATCCACTTCCCCATATCATCCCATGGATGTTAAGAGGCGACAGAGGGAAATAAACCACACACACAAAGGGAGATGGGCAGCAGCGTCTTCCTAATAATGACTAGAAAAAAAACTGTGATTGCCATCTTGATTGCCAAGCGTGGCAACTATGGCAAATATCTCCCCCCCCCCCCCCTCATGAAGTTATCTATGGGGAGGCCTATGTTCTTGGACTTTTTATAAGCTGTAACGATAATGTCCTCCAGATCTAATATCGGTCCCGGCAAGCTGACTCAATGAAGATTAGCTATTGACAGTGGCGGATTAAAGGAGGGGCTAGGGGGGGCTATAGCCCCGGACCCCACCTCGGGAGGGGGCCCCGCGGTCTCGAATCAAAAATTAATTTTTTAAACCTGTTTCAAAGAATTTTGAATAAAAGTAAAATGTTTTCCAAAGAAAATAAGTTAACCAAAATTACCTACGATTTTTAATTTGCCATCGGTTAACTATTTGTTGGCCAACGACGGGTGTAAATCTGTGATGAAATAACGAAATAAGTGGTATTATTAGCGAATGGGTTGGGAAAAACTGCGGCTAACGCTGCAGCAGTTGGTCACGGTGGCGAACGGTTGGGGAAATTTCTACCAGAGAATGTTAATGTTTATCGCGCAATAATTTGAGTTATTCATTCATGCCAAAGGTTGTAATTTTCTTTTTTACTTACATAATTTAAATAAATTTATATGAAAGATTATTTAATAACAATTCTAAAGAAAACAAAAAGAGAGAAATTAAATCTGTTATACTATTTATTATTATTTTTTTCACTTGTTTTCACTCGTCGTTGATTCTACCCCAGATATATCCCACATCGATCAGTTGTCAGTCATTTTCCGATACTACTTAGATGGTCACGTTTATGAACGTTTTTTCTGCTTTTTACAAATAAAAGTCATAAAGGTAGGTCGCTTAGTAATGACGTATTAGATTTACTACAGGAGCACGGTATCGACATTAAAAATTGCAGAGCTCAGACCTATGACAACGCTTCCAATATGTCCGGTAAATATATTGGACTTCAAGCTTGTATTAGAGAAAAAAATGAATTAGCGTTTTTCGTGCCTTGCGCTGGCCATTTTCTAAACTTAGTGGGAGAATGTAGTGTCGACGTATGTCTTGATGCTACAAATTTCTTCGGAATTTTACAGCGGCTATATGAATTTTTTAGTGTTTCAACACATCGGTGGGACATCTTAATCACTGAGAATTCTAAAATAACGAGCTTATCGAAAACGAGATGGTCATGTCGCGGAGATGCCACAAAAGTTGTAGTAAAGAGTCATGGAGGTATTTGTAGGGCTCTAGAAATTTTAGCGAATGACGAAGAATAAAAACGCGAAACTCGGAAAAAAGCTGAAGCTTTATTGAAACATATAAAAAACTTGAAAATGTTTTTATGGCGATTCTATGGAATAATGTTTTAAGCCGCTTTAACGCGACTAGACAATACCTTCAAAAAGTTGATACAGATTTAATTTCTGCAAATAACATGCTACTTTTATTAGTGGATTTTGTGGCAGATTTGCGGGATACGTTTTCTGACATTGAAAATCAAGCCAAACAACTAAGTAATTTTGTGGATCAAGAATATTCTGATGCAAACAAACGAAAGGTCACAAGAATGCTAACCGACAAAGAATCACAAGCTAGTAGCTTAAGCCCGGCTGATAAATTCCGAGTAAACACATTTTATGTGATTATAGACAAATTAGTTTGCCGAGTTGCAGAAACGGAGTGAAGCATATGATCGCATCATTCAACTATTTGGCTTTCTCACACAATTATTATTTATACAGACAGATGTATTAGAAAAAAAAGTAGCAAATCTCGTAAAGGTTTACTCTGACGATTTAGAAAAAGATTTATCAGTTGAATTAAAACAATTTATACCATGTTTAAAACGGCAGCCTAAGGGCTTTTTTCCAATCGTACAGGAAAAAACACAAGTGCAAATGATGAAATCTTGTGTCCCTTAAGTTTTAAATTGGCTTGTAGATTTAGACATGATACAAGTTTTTCCGTATACCTATATTGCTTACAGAATACTACCTACACTTCCAATCGCAAATTGCGAATCAGAAAGATCATTTTCAGTTTTGAAAAGAATAAAAAACATGTATCGATCAACGATGTCAGATGACAGACTATCACAAGACAATCATCTTTAACAAGATTAAGTATCGAAGTCGACTTATTGAGATCAATTGACTTCGATGACTTAATTCATGATTTTGCTAGAGCAAAATCAAGAAAAAAATTTTTAAACGAATTTTAAAATAATTGTTTGTACTTCATTGTATCTATAAATAATAGTTTATAATAAATAATTTATAATAAATTAATAAATGATTTTTTTAAATATTTGATAAATAGCCTTTTTCGCTGTCCTTAAGTGGGCCCCTTCTCAATTTTAGCCCCGGGCCCCATAAAGTTCAAATCCGCCCCTGGCTATTGATATACATATTACTGGTATAGTTGTAGCACGAATGGGTCGGCTCGGCCGGGGAAGGACCAAGCTCACAGAATACCATCGTAAAATAGCAGCTTAATGCTGCTGCGTTTCGTGTGGTGAGTGTAGAGAACCGGAGACCCTTTTTACTGGAAACGAGGCATTCCATTCTTAGTCCTCAGGGTTGACAACGCATCTGCATTTGATTCGTATTCGAGGATAGATGTAGATGTCTATGGACCACAACAACCACTTACCATCACGTGGACTGTGTGCTCGTTTGTCACCTTCATTCTATTAAAAAATATATTTTATTAGACATGACTTTTTACATTCATTGTATATAATTTCCCTTTTCAGATATCAGAGGGACTTTTGACTGGTCGTCTAGTCAAAAGGGTACAGTATGAAGATATAAGCAAACTCGCTACGTGATCATTAGATTAAGTTACAATAAATATTTTTTAAGTATTGTTTTTTTTTATTAGACCTTTTTAATTACTGAAAATTGAAAAAAATAAAAGGTTGAAAGGAAAAAAGGAATTCAGTTGCATTGGTTGTTATATGAGACCATACATATTACAAGATATTTTTTCTTATGTCGCATCAGACACACGCACTATAGTCATTTTGTCGACTGCACGTTTGATGTCGCCTGCACAACACGTCTTGATTACTCAACTATGTAAATAAGTTTAAGTTTAAGCGCATTCGTCGCGGTTGCGTGAGCAAAAACACGAGTAGTATCCAAGCTTTCATTTAAATTTAACTATCAAACATGACTACCAAAGTGAACAAAAATATTGAACATTTATATATATGATAGCGCTTGTAGAAGAAAGACCGGTAATTTGGGACAAACCTGTGTGGAGTATAAATTTAGAAATTTTAAGACCGTCGCCTGAGATGAAATATGTTCTATGTTAATAGAAAAATTTAAAGATTTGCCAGTGGTAGAAAAAAAAATTAAAAGGCATATTTTTAATACAATATTAAATTATCATCATTACTCGATTTATATACAAGAGTCTGATAAATGACACATGCAACTACGACGTTTTCTTCTGTGGTAAAAGTATTCAATCACTATTAAACGCTGTCGCCTGTCCATTTGCTACCCGTGTATCTTCCATGAATGGTTACAACCAGATGATGAGACCTCTTGCATGAATGTGCACACACACATGTGATAAACCAGACGAGACATTTTTCTTGTCTAGTGACCGTGTCTAATAATGTGCAAATGGCCTTAAGGCCTAAATTCGTCCGAAAGCACCGTGCAACTTGCAAGAAATGTTCCGATATACACTGCGAGCACTACTCCGTGCTCTCACTGGTGAAAAATTCGTTCCGTTATGAACTGCCGGTATACTGCCGCAGTACTCTAGGGAAATATATGACGTCATAAATCGCCGCCAGAGAGAGGAGATAAGGTAAGGAGGAGAGAGAGGTAAGATGCTCTCAGTACTTTGCTCACGAGATCAAAAAACATAACAACGCCTAGAGAGTTAATAGCTTACACGAATGATTGTTATTATTATTAATTAAAATCGTTATTCAAATAAACTCGGACATTTAGTTTTTACAGTAATACGAAATTTGAAAAGGTACAAAGGATGATATTAAAAATTGCCTTGAAAAAACCTAGGATGTATCCGACTACGAACTTATACGCAGAAGCCAATGTGTTAACGGTTCGAAAAAACTGAGTACATTTAAAGTTTCATTTATTCTATTTCCTCCTCATCTACTGAGATACTTATATGGGATCTGTTTGTTATTATCTTTGTCTGTTTTATTGTTAGTCCCACCTTTTTACTTTCACATGATAAATCTTGG